CCCCCCCCCCCCCGCAGGCCCCCAGGGCCAGGTTCAGGTAGGCCATGTTCTCGTCGTGGGGGGGGCGCCCCTCCTCCAAAACAACGAGAGGAAAACACAAAAACTAAACAAAAACTAAACCAGGGACCGGATCTGGTCTTATTCTATACACTACGAAGTCTTTTCTGACTTATGTCTATTTCTATTAATTAATTAATTAATTAAAAAAACATATGTCTTTTTGTACTAATTAGGTCTTTTCTTACATTTAATTAGGTATTTTTGTACCTATAAGGTCTTTCTATGACTTATTTTATGAGTCATTTTGTACTAATTAGATATCTTCATGGGTTACCTTTGTATTTTTGTACTAATTACATCTTTTCTTACTTATAATTATGTCTTTGTGTACCTATAAAGTCTTTCTATGACATATGTATGAGTCAAATTGCACTAGTTACGTCTTTCATTACTTGTAATTATGTTTTTTTGTACCTATAAGATCTTTCTATGATTTATTTATGAGTCATTTTATACTAATTACGTCTTTACTTACCTTTAATTATCTCTTTTTGTACCTTTAAAGTCTTTCTATGACTTACTTATGAGTCAAATTGCACTAGTTACGCCTTTTATTACTTATAATTATATCTTTTTGTGCATATAAGGTCTTTCTATGACTTATTTTATGAGTCGTTTTGTACTAATTAGATATTTTCATGACTTATCTTTGCATTTTTGTACTAATTACGTCTTTCCTTACTTATAATTATGTCTCTTTGTACTAATAAAGTCTCTATGACTTATTTATGAGACATTTTGTACTAATTAGGTCTTTTCTTACTTATAATTTTGTCTTTTTGTACCTATAAAGTCTTTCTATGACATTTGTATGAGTCAAATTGCACTAGTTACGTATTTTACTACTTGTAATTATGTCTTTTTGTACCTATAGTCTTTCTATGATTTATTTATGACTCATTTTGTACTAATTAGGTTTTTTCTTACTTATAATTTTGTCTTTTTGTACCTATAAAGTCTTTCAATTACTTATTTCATGAGTCAGTTTGTACTAGTTACGTCTTTTCTTACTTATAATTATGTCTTTTTGTACCTATAAAGTCTTTCTATGATTTATTTATGAGTCATTTTGTACTAGTTCCGTCTTTTCTTATTTATAATTATGTATTTTTGTACTTATAAGGTCTTTCTAGAAATTATGCTATGAGTCATTTTGTACTAATTACGCCTTTTATGACTTATTTTGTACCAATTACGTATTTTCTTACTTAGGTTTTTTTGTACCTAAATGACTTATTTATGAGTCATTTTGTACTAATTACGTCTTTTATGACTTACCTGTATGTATTTTTTTAGTAATTATGTTTTTTCTAACTTAAAAACTTATAATTTTTTGGTTTTTTAATCACAAAACAGTTTAAATGCCAAATGACCAGACAGTTAAAATGAAAACATCTCCTGGTTAATAACCAAAAGCAGCGCTGTATCAGATGGATCGAAGGCGTATTTGTATTTTGTGAGTTACCTCGGTGGGGTTCAGCCAGACGTCGGTGTTCTCGGCGCTCGCCGCGCCTTTAATGGCGCAGACGATCGTCCTGGTAACGGCCTCCTTCACCCGCTCCACGCCATCGGCCTCCTGGGGGACAGCGGGCGCCTTAATACCGCCAAATTCATCCATACAGCACGTCCTAACGCCTTTAACAGGCCCAAAACCCCGCCCACCGGTCCTCAATCAGCCCAGAAAGCCTCACCTCACCCCTCTGTTCATGGAGCTTCACTGGTTACCCCCGGTTACCACCGGTTACCCCCGGTTACCCATGGCTGCCCGCATCAAATTCAGGTCCCTGATAACCAAAAAGTGCTTAAGGGTCCGGACCCCGTCAGGAGAAAATGCGGATCCAGACTCCAGATCCAGTCCGATCCCACATTAGCATTAGCATTAGCATTAGCATCTGTAACCCACAGGACTGTGTCCTAACCATTAAGTTGTTATCAGAGTAAATCCCTGTTCAACATGAGTCTGACAACTAAGTAAGTAGAATAAATAACTTTAAACTTTAATACATTCTCTGATAGGCTGGGATCGGGATCAAAAAGCTGGATCAGGAAGTCCCTAACTCTGACTGAGAATTTTCCTCTAGAGGACTTATTGTCATATTGATGATAACTGTAAAATTGTGTCTACTTTGTAAGTTGCTTTGGACAAAAGCGACTGAATGCAGAAATATAAACAACATCAACAAACATCTGCCCAAAGTGCTGCACAAACCAACATTACAAAAGGCATTTAATTAGTAAAAAGATAATTAAAAGATACAAAAACATCAAA